AGTGGATAGCATCGTAGACTTCTGATCTACAGGTTCAGGGTTCGAATCTCTGCACGAGCTGTTTCGTATTTTTTCTTCTTTGCATTTCTTATCTCATAAATAGTCTTAAAATGGTCTTAAAATGAGCTAAAAATGATCTAAGTAGGATCGTAATAGGATCATATTTGGATGATCATAACAAGATGATATTTATTTTCATTTATAGCTCATTTTTTATCTCATTTTTCACGGCTTAGGATATATCTGCTGTATTGTTTGAAAAGAAATAATTATATGTTTAGAATACAGAGAATGAATTATTCTTTACTTGCGCATCATGCACGCCTGAACGAATTATGAAGAAATAACGCTGAAAACAGTTCCCGGTTACAGTTTTGATATTGTTTTTGGAGATGATAATAACAATAAAATAGATACGGGATTCAATAACGAATCAGCAAAAGAAAATAGAAAGCTTCTGTTACACAAGAATATCGACCAATTTGAAACAAACGACAGTTAATAATCTTTCCAGTAGAAAATATAATTGATACGTAGATGGAAATGAAGTTTTTTTTGTAACATCTCAAAATAACTGTTGTTTTTGTTGTTAACAGCGCTGATTACAAGCATATAAAAATGACTCTAGATAATTCTAGTCATCAACGGTGAGAAAAAAGTTGACCGTAAGAGACGATCGCCCTCATGGTTTTGAGTTGGTGGGCAAAATAAAAGACTACCTGGTCTTCTATACAGGGGAAGATGTAACGATCTCAAAGCCCGTTATTGTTCTTTTAGTGTAATCTTCGAACTACAGCTGTTAGACTCAGAGGTATAACTAGTAGAAAGAAGGTAGCAGATAAAAGCATGTAAAACGCCTGCGGTTAGTTTTCTATGCATATTTTTCAACTCTCTAACTTGTACGCCAGAGTTGTTGATGAAATCCGTTTTTCAGATTACATCACTGTCAAGCTCCGTAGTAGTTTAGTGAATAGAAAGCCCCGTGCTCTATTACTACGACTGACAAAAATCGAGATAAAACGTGTGCACGAAAAGTGTGCTTTTATTGAATAATGAAAAACAAAAAAAAGTGTATAACAAATCTGTATATATCTAGTACTGTACAACTGGACTGAAAAATAAAATCATAAAGGAAAAAGAACCTGGACAGTACGTATATGAAAAAGAAAGAAGGAAAATCACGCATCTAATACACAAAGATATAGAAAAATGAGAATCGAGGCTTATGATCTGACAAGGTCATAACACTCTCCCCCTCCGAAAAAGGATGTAACATCTATCCGAAAAAATTAAGGTTAACGTAGAATAAAACAGAAACACAGAAAAATCAATAACAAAAGAGTTGGTTAACGAAAAAGAAATAAGTTTTTATTTTTTGTTGTTTTGTTTTTTTTATTTTATAAAAACAGAAATATGACGAACAGATAGAATACGAATAGGTAAAACAAATAGACAAAAAAAACGGGTGAAATACTAATAACAGAGAGAGAAAAAAAATATTAAAATAGATGAATTTATAAAACAAAAAATGATACGAAATAATCCTCGCCAATAATACGACGATAACGACGACGATCTGACGAGTTGGCAAAGCCAACGATTAGTCGGCGATGTCCGTTTTCTGTTTTATCCTTGATATGGGTAAATCGTATATGACGTTCGCGTAAATGGCGATCGATTGCTGGTAATGCATAATTTTTATGTAGGATATCGTTGATTGAGTACAAATATCGTAGTTTCTTTCTTCGGATGTGTGCTCTACGATTTCGCCAATAATTAGATAAATGAGAAGGCGCCGTAGAAGATAGTATGAGTACGTTGGGTGTAGGTTGTGGTGATAATGAAGGTGAGATGGGTCGTGGCGATGATGGATGAAGTGATAATGTCTGTTGAGAAGGCGACGATGGTTCGAGATGAGGTGGCGATAATGGCGGTTGTTGTTGTTGATGTTGTGCTAATGATCGTGCAGGTGGTTTCATGTAAAAATATAAACGAGTAACAACCACACAGTCATAAGATGCATAAATTACCATTTGACGTAGACGATATAATTGATCGGAATTGTTGTTGTCTAATGCATCTCCAGTTAAGTGTGGATTAATATACGTTTTTAAACGTTTATCCAAACCCGCATTCCATTTGCTAAGTTGCCATTGTTTGTCTAAAAACAAATTAAACGTTTTAGCAACAGCTTTTTGTAAACTTACCGGTTCGAAATAAATATCGGCTGGTGTATGAATTGATATAGCATCGTCGT